CAGAGGCTTGTGCAATTCGAGTTTACAAACCAGGTCTCTGTGTACAGAAGGAGATGGTCGTGACTATGAATCTACCATGGTAATACGTTTTACTTATCATTCTACCTCTTATTATTATTATCATTATTATTTTTATAACTATTACTATTGATATTACTCTGTTTGCAATTCTTGATATATTCTCTAATGACTAATTGTTTATCTAAGTGATGTAACTGAAGCATAATGCATTTTATCTTAATTTTAATCTCTCATACTCCCTCCCTCCTTATCTATTTGAATATGACCTGGAAAACATTCGCACCTGTCTTTCTGCATGACTAATTCAATGTAGTTTATTTGCTTATCAGTCTTATATCTCCCAATATAATTTCAATTTTTATATATATCCATGTATGTAAAGTATTCAGCTGACGAGTTCTGCCGAAATTTGATGAATTCATTAAATCCTGCTTTATTAACCTTTATTGCTTGTTTTAAATTCGTATCTGGAAATAAATAATGTTTTCAATCAATAAAATTAAAACTATATCAGCTTTTAAGACGGCCTTAAGTTAGTGTGCAACAGTCATGTTCGATTTCTTGAAGTTACACAGTAAATAAAAGACAACTCAGTAAAAAAAGTTTCCTTATCAAAGAAATCATCTTTAGAGGCTGTACAATCGTATTTACACTTACCAAAAACGTATAGTAGTCTGTTATCGATTTATAGGGTGTATGCGACATAATACGACATCATTACGACATAATTACTTTGTTATGTATTACCGATATGTCGATGATGGAAATGTTAACATAGACGAATTGTTGCTGAAATTCAACAACATCCACCCTTCGCCTACCTTTACTTGTGAAGAGGAGCAGGAGAATAAACTACATTTCCTAGATGTCTTGCTAAGTAGGAGAGAAGATGGGTCACTTTGGAGAAGCGTGTATAGAAAAAGCACTTTCACAGGGCAATACACACACTTCCTTAGTTACGTGCCCATTAAATATAAAAGGAGTGTTGTAAAATGTCTTGCGAGCAGAGCAAGAAAGATATGTACAGGTGACCTCTTACAAAAGGAATTTGAACATATTCACGATTCCTTAATGGAGACGGGCTATCCGAGTAGTTTCATAAAGAAACATATGAAAATATCGGAGAAAAACCGGAGACTCTGACTGCACGTAAGAAACCTCTATTTATTAAGTTACAATTTAATGGTGACTTATCAAGTGAGATTCTATTCCAAAGACTTTCAAGGAGTATACGAAGAACATTTTATGCAGCACACCTATATTTGTCATTCTCTAGCCGACGAATGATTGGGACGCAAACGAAGGATAAGCTTGCTAGTTTTGTCACATCTATGTGCATTTATCAATTCAACTGCACCTGCGGTGACAGTTATATTGAGCGTACTGCTACACAGCTTAGCCAACGTGTTAGTGAACACCTCCCATCGTGGTTTGGCAAAGGACAGACAAAAACAATTCGTAGCTCAATTTTGTCACACTTAATTGATAGTGGTCATGTAATCGAGAAAACGAAAGCCTTCAAAGTAATTCATCATATCCCACCGAATCTTTCCAATAGAGTTCCTATTCGCTTATTGCACACAGCTGAGGCGATAGGCATTCGAACTATTAAACCTAAACTATGTATTCAAAAAAGGTTCGTACAGCCATTATCCCTTCCTTGGCCTATTAATTTTTTTAATTTTTAATTTTGATTACAGCTTGATGCCACACCGTATTTTCAGTACAAGTATGACATTTTCAGCGTGGATATCGGTGGCCCAAATTTTGCAGGCCGACCATAGATATCGGGTGTGCGTCGGTAGCGGTTCGAACCTCGGACCATGTGCATGGTCGGCGACAGTCCTAACCACTGTGCCACCGACGCACATAACCAACTAATGACTTCTACACCACCCTTTGTTTATATTTTCAACCCCTTTCTTATCATCCCTTAATCTTATCTTCATTATAAACGTGTTTCATTTCCTTCCCTTACAATCTAATATTACTTAATCGGTTCATTTGTTTTTACTAGCCTTTATCGACTACTTCCACCTGAACAGTTGTTTGTTTAATCATGCTATTTTTCATTATTCGTGTTATCACAGATTGCCTCACTTTTTCATCCTTATTATTGATAAGACCATTTTTATTATTACTACTATTATTGTTATTATCATTACTACTATTATGACTAATTGCACAATTTATATTCACCATAGTATTATCCTATAGACAAAACACCATGATTGGTTTGTATTTGAATTTTTATTTGTAAACTTATATATATATATTAGAGTTAAGCCTGATGAGATCTAATTGGAAACAATATTGTTCGCTTAAATGTGTTGTTCTAAATTTTACTATGGGAATATTTACCATAATTACATTACTTAGAAGTGACTCCTAAAATAAAAACCACGTCACTGTATTGATGCAATAGAAGAAAGGGTTTGAAACTTGATATAGGGAAAGTTATCCGCTGAAAAGTAAGGTAGTTGGATGCCAGTGGGGCAAGTGTGAAGACGGTGGAAGTGATAATAATGAGCTAATTCCTGAAAAAAAAACCAAACGATTAGGAAAGAGATTAAGACACAAACCTTTTCTGCATGCAGTGTTCGGGGTTATGTTGACAAATAGCCAGTGCCTCCAACATACACAAATGCAGAAACCCGACACTCCCTGTAACATTCGGGGTCACCTTGTAGATAATCTCAAAAGACCACTTTGGCGGCGCTAAGTGGTCTCAGTTCACCAGGTGCTTGAGAACTGAGCCAGTAATCTCATTGCACTGTCCTCTTATCAACCACGCCGGATAATATTTAGAAGTGAGTCTGAAAAGTGTGACCTTTATACTAACTATTGTATAAATATTTATGCAGAAAAGTGACGCTTTTATGCATTGCTATGTTAGGAAGAAGTATGGAAACGATTTGTAGTCGAGGAGGTTAATTACTGCTCTCTATACTGGCTGAACGACATTAAAATTAATTATGAAAAGCATGACATCACACTACACACTAATCATTAAAATTATCCAAATTCACACCCTGTAAACAAACCAAAATTAATATGAGACAGAAGTAAACTAGAGTAACATTATCAAGGAAAACCAGAACAGATAGAGGAAAATCGGATGAGGATAAAGTTTGGAAAAAAACCAACACAAAATGCGAAATGTTGATTTCAGAAAACTGGCTTGGTATCTCCACCGTATTTCGCCGAAGGGGAGATGAAAGAGTGCGTAATACGCATCAAACTGAAGGAAAAGCCACATAGAATGTGCATACCACTAGAGGTGTTAGATATTTCTCGTGTCAGAAATAACGGAGAAAAATATTAATTTCAGAAGCTTTGAATGTGAATACCCACTGTTTCAGTAATACCATACGTAGATATTACATTTCCGGCTTCTATCTGAATGGAAATTCTAACATACATTTCTTATTATGTGTTTACGTAAACTGTCACTGCTATGTTCGCTGAATCTTCAAACGAATAAGGTTAACTAACATTAATGTACTCTTGATAGTTTCCTAGTAATTTATCCCTGACAAGTACTGGTAATTTCAAGAATACTCACACATTAATATTGGAAACGAGCGAGTGAGAGGTAGCGTCATCACAAATTTAAAGACAGTGATCATACAACAAAGTATTATGGGCTAATTATATACTGCAGCGTTGGATTGAATAATGAGCGTTTATATGTGTACTGAAATCTGATTGGTTGTAATTTGATCAGTGTTTAGGCGTCTATGAGTGTGCTGAATTCTGATTGGCTGGTTATATGAATTATGTGTCGGAAATCAATATTTGTACAATTTAAATTCTGACTGACAGACTATCGATCTAGGCTGTAGGTGCAAATTACAGTCACTCAGTTAGGCTTGTGCTCAATCAGATTTTTACTATTCTGATGTATACAAAATAACCAGTGCACCTTTTGTACGATTAGTTTCCGTTAATTTTTGAGTACTACAATTGCCGTATAAATAATTCTAACATAAGTGGAAATACACATTTCCTTATCATTGTGTGATTCTTATCATTTACCTTCTGAGATTGGAAATCTACTAGGAAGTTGACAAGCATTCACTACTGTTAGCTTCTTTTTGTGCAAATATATAGTGGCTAGAACTGACAAGCTACTAGTGTGCTATTAAGGCTGCAGTTGACTTCATACATGATTCGATATATACGTTTGAACAAAGAAACAATAGGAAATTAGTGGCTGGACTTATCCGGCATGTTGGTTGAAATTTCGCTCGGCAAATTTTTTTGTCAATAATTTTTAATAAACTTTTGTTATATGTTTTCTGGATTGATAGGAATTCTCATTTCCTGGCTAGTTATGTTGGTGTCCGCGTCATGTAATCTGACTGCGACACACTTAACATATTGGTTGTAATGATTAGTATTTGATGCTGAATGCGTCAAAACGGCTGAAATTATCCCGCATGCTCAAGGTCATTGATGGAGTGAAACGCTCAAAGGTCATTTTCGTCCATGTTAGTCGGTAATGTTGGATTGCAATTCCGTAGCCGTTCGTTTACACATTGGTTTTACGTTCTGTTGGCATTTATAGGTGATTCCCATGTACTGATAGCATTCTTTTGTAAAATAGTACTGTTCTTCACACGAAAATAGCCACATTTTGACGTAGTCTTCATTGAATGACATTATGTCGAAAGCTGCAGCTTCTACAAGAAATAAACTATTTGTGTGGATGATATTACCCCCCAACTACCCCCATCTTCTTCATTGTAGAGGTGTTTTGACGCATTCAGCATCAAATACTAATCATTACAACCAATATGTTAAGTGTGTCGCAGTCAGATTACATGACGCGGACACCAACATAACTAGCCAGGAAATGAGAATTCCTATCAATCCAGAAAACATATAACAAAATTTTATTAAAAATTATTGACAAAAAAATTTGCCGAGCGAAATTTCAACCAACATGCCGGATAAGTCCAGCCATATTTTCTAATGTTTCAAACTGTCCATGAAACATTTTTCAAAATAATGGTTGCTGAACAAAGAATATTCTTTCCGACAACTTCATCATCTGGCTCTACAGTTATAAACACATTATAGTGAGTGAATTAGTGTTGTTAACAACATTAATGCTTAAGTAACATCGAATCAATAATAATTTCAATGGATTACATTTCAGTAGCATCAACATAACAGTGCGCTGAATATCAGGGGAATTTAGGGAAATAATAGTATGAATTCACGAATTTATAGTTTATTTTCTTCACTTAACTATATGGCAGATATACATTGCAAGATTAGATGGGATACTTAGCGCGAGTTTAGTAAGTGCGCTACTTCTGCAATGATGATTCGCTCTGCCTCATTCGTTACAAATAATCTATGGAGAGGTAAGTCTGTATAATTTTCTGATTTATCTGAAGCACACTCAAAACTCATTACAAGTCTGTACGCGAAACAATGCGCCAATCACTCTACTAATCCAGAATATGCAAATAAAACTGAACCATATGAAGTTTTTAAGTCGCGTTTCGTCAACGCATTCGATGATCCGAAGATTGATGGTTGGTGGGCTCGAACATGGATGCAAAGACTTCACCTTGAAGATGCTGTGCCACCCCCAGAAGTTGTGATAAGTGGTCTCAAAGCATGCAGACGCCTAAATGACATCGCACTTGCTATTAGGTTCATGGAAGCCGTTAAGGTATGCTACTTTCTTATCATATTATTCTGTAGTTCAAATGTCAAGTTTGTAAAGGTGCATGGGAATGGCTTCAGAAAGAAGTGGAACCCACCATGAAGGAACTGGGTCTACCAACTCTTGAGCAACTTGGTTATGACAAACCCGAATTGGCATTACTGGACCATGATGAGTAGTAGAAGCACTCTGTAATTTAGCCAAATACACATAGAACTATTCTGCCCACTAGATTTCCTGCTTATTCATACTATAGAAAGTTGATGTGCAGTGCAGCTAATAATGGGTCCTCTAAAGTACCTATTTCTCAGTCCGTCGACTTCATGAATGCTACCAGTTATTCGTATAGTTAGGATAGTTGTAATTGTTCAGTGTCACGACTGACAGTGAGTAAATATATTTGAAATCGTGGTATTGTTCTTTCATCCGACGTTTGTAATTGTTTTTCGCTACATCTGTCGATTAGTTCAAAGACGATTATTTAGTGCCGCTTCGTTATCACGCTTTGAGAGACACAGTCACTTTAGCTGTGGTCGACTTAGCAATTTGGGTCAGACTTCCGTCTGTAGGGATGCAATCTTCGTTCCTTTCATGCTTATGACTTCATTCATGTACTATAGAAAACATTGTGATCATATGTGAGAGTGCTTACTTGTTATATGCACGCTCTTTATCCGTAAATAGTCGTGAAAACCCTCATGGATTATACCATGTGTGGAATTCTAGATAATTAGCTTACTGAAGACTTTATTTTAAGTGAGTGGACAGGTAAGGTAGATCACTCGTTGTAGGCTTTTTTAGAGGTTTAGACAATTGAGCATTTACACTTTGTGGAAGAAAAAAAAGTAAAAGTACTATCACTAATAGCAGCCCTTTCAATCTTTTAAATATCACGTTGAAGCAGTATGTGATATTTTGAAATCATACACGGTATATGTATGTCTGACTTAAGCATCAGACTCTCAGCTGGTGAGTCGTGGTTTCAAATCGCTCCACTTACGTTGACCTGAGCAACTGTGTAGAGCAAGCAAACCTCACACAATAAATAGGGTTCACGGTCTGGTATATGAGAATTCTGTCCTTCATAACTGAGTCTAGTGGGACTAATCATCTGTTTACAATTGCATATTATAATATTAAGTTTACCTTTATGCTGGTAGCCTGTTCATACAGTGTCTTCTTCCGTGTTATCTGCTGTATATTAGTTTGTAAAATTAATTTCCTATAGATCGCGAAGGGAAATTTAGTAGTTGTTGAAGGTTTCCATACGGACCTGATACCCACTAAAGGTTGTTAATAAGTAAACATTATTCGAGTAATTCCTTTTATGTATGCTCGTTTCCGGTATTTTGTGATTGTTTCATATAATTTTGATTAATTTAACATTGTGATACCTTTCTTACGAAAAACAACTGGAAATTCATAACTGTCTTTGAAGTACATGCATCGCTTCACTCAACTAGTCCGAAAGCTTACGTTCAAGTTCACTATTCTTGGTTCTATTTATTCCGATGATAGGTGAACTAAACAGTTTTCTCGAATCATTGGTGCTAACACACGACAGTAATCTAATTCACTGTGTTGACTTAAAGAATTTTTTGCACTAGTAGTTAGCAGTTGAACTAAAGGCAACTACTCATTTTGACGCTACGCTGGGCATATAAAAGATAAAATCGAAGTACTGTTTAGGGGGAAGTATTGTCTTAAGGAGGCATTTTGTCGGTTAGTACTTTAACTGTCCTCCCTTTTTAGTTCGTGAATTTGAAAATATACTTTCGATACGGTTTTGCAGTTTTCGCCTTCTTTGGTAGCTTTGTTTGACTTGAAATGCGACTTTGGAAATGACTTTGGAAATCATGTACTATGCCAGCTTTATCTGACGTCATTTGGATTGTGTAATCACCCAGGACTCATCCTGATACTTCAATACAATGGTTAGTATTGTACGCACATCTGGGAAACTGACTTAGTAAGTGAATGGTAGTATTCATGTTAATAAACCTGGTAATCAATTACATACGTAGCGTAGAGACTCGGAGCATCACGTGGGCGTAAAGATCTATAAGCAAAGCAGAATCTGAACATTTGATCAACTATTTAAGGGTGAAATGCCAAACTATGGGTCACAGTCACCAGCCCTCCTCAGATAGTGTCAGTAGTCTCCATACAATAGACATGGAACATTGCTAAGTGCATGGAAATGCAAGTGGTTAGTTGTCTTTTTCCGTGGTTAAGAATAAGCTAACAAATCTCTGCAAACGTATTCGAGCCTGGCTTCAATTTAGGCAATAATTGGGACTGACAATATCATTAAAATATCTGAACATTTCACAGGCCATAGAGCTATCATCCAATTGTCTATCCTCCCTCTCGAGCATAGATGGGGTGTAGATATCGGTCATTAAAATCTCATTAACGGTAAGGACACTGTTTTATGTATGATATGCCACAAACCAGAAAGTTTTCATAGTATACTTGTGGGCATTGTTGGGAATGATGTCCAGAGCTTGTCATTCGCAGTAATTGAGGCACCAGCCGTGTATAAAAATCAGAAGCATGGAATTCCTGTTTTGCGAAGCACGCAGTTTGGGGGCGATTTGTCATCACAGTTATTTTGCTATTACAAAATATTTAAACCACAACCGATTACCTGCTTGATAAAGTAAATGGCTACGGCCTGTATGGGATAGGATGATAGCATCATTTATCTCGTCGGCTTTCCTTCAGCTGCGTTTAATCCGCAAATTTTATTGAGGATATGTATACAGAATTTTATTATCGCATTTGAAAAAAGTGACATGATGGCCACTAAGTGGAGACTCCAAAATTAATAAACATTGTTCAGAAATCACATTTATGCAGCGTATACACAGAATGTTCAAGTTTAAACAAAGCAAAACCGAGGAAATAATTATTGTTTGGATACAGCGGAAAATGGAATTGCATAATAAAACGTTAGTTCAGGTGAAAAATGTTTAATAAGTCACATAACGGTTTGACTGAAATCACAGAAACAAAAAAGAAGCAAGATTACACTATAACAAAAGGGAAAGGTGTTAAAGCCAAAGTTTACTTATTCAAATAAACGGAAGACTAAGGACTTAGAGTTACCAGGGCAAGAGAATACTGATAACCGCTTCTTTCTAGACACTTGGACTTCTTGTGTATAAGTCATGTAAATGGGACTTCTGAGCATTGTTTACTAATTTCTGAGTCCAGTTAACTGACATGTCAACTTTGCAAGTATGATAGAAATTTCTGTGTACATTTACTTAGATAATTTTTTGGTTGTGTGCAGAAGAAGAGGAACCAACGAAATAAATGATGGTTTCATTTTATTCTGCACAAACATTTTTTTCGCCTTATTCAAATTTAAAAAGGAAAATGTGAGTATGAAGACTGTAAATGACATTTAAATTCGAACAGAAGTGTAACACTATGTTTCCTGTTGACTGGTATGAGTAGAGCTGGAAGCCACCAATAGATTTCATCGATCACACTGTGATGATTTAAACGACAAAAGTCGTTCCAGTCATTTGTCTCAGAGCTCATAAGAGGTATACTTGAATTGACTTAGTTCAAAGAGCCGAAACAGTTCAAACAACTCGAATTTCAGCTTTATTTTGATTGGACTTGTTAGAAATAGTGTCCGCTGATTAATTCATCTCCATAGTGTTGAAACTAAATGTAGTCCTATCAAGTTTGTTTAAATCGAGAAGCAAATAGTGTGGAGACCTTATTTTGATAATGCAAACTGGTCAACTAGACCATAACTGTGTCTGCGATCTGGAAACCATTTGAGGCTAAACTGCGACTCTGAAACAAGTAACTCGAAATAACCAGGAAAACCTCTGGCTTGAATAAGGACTCAAGGATCACAGCCCTCAGCCTTTAATAACCTCTTGGAAATTAATATAGTGCATATTAGTACCAGAAAAAAAATAGTGGTAATCATGGTTCCGAGTTCGCAGCTGTTTAAGGAAAGTTATCGTCTTTTGTGATGACAAACAGTGTTGTCCAGGGGTATGCAAATTCACCATTTTTGACTCCTACTTCCAAACATGTTGCTTGAGTGATCGTAGTTCTTTACTATCTCTCAGGGATTCAATGTCTATCCAGTGAAAGTCCGCTTGATTTAGACTATTCGTGAAATTGCTCCGTAAGGCCAAATAGGTTAAGTGATTACTAGCAGCGAATTCTGCTGGGAACGCCAACTAGTAAATAATACTCTTCTGCCTTATCATATGAGAGAAATAAACTAAAATAGATTTATGCTACACTACAGTGCCCAAGTTTTATACGTATTAATGATATATGGGTTGTTCCAAATGTCTCGAACCAAAACTTGACCATTGGTAAATGATGATTGGTGTTCATGACTATCTAGGTTACCAGTTGACAGTCAGTTGGTAATATGCGCTGAAAATCCGTATCACGGGTAGTAAGCTGGACACTAGTGATATTTCAGCACAGACAGAAGAGACTCACTTAGCACTTGCCAATTTGTGATGCTGGCGATGTGTTCATTAGGGGAATAGAAAACGAGATTACCATTTCATCAGTTCGATATATTTTGATCTACGTCTGTGAAACATAGGCGCCAGGGATGGCTAATATAGTGAGTTCGCAGACTTTGCTAGCTTGTTATGAAAGTGCAGAGTAAAAACTCCTAACTTACGCTGATTGAGATGACTAGAGCATATGCCGCAGATGAAGATGAATGCTTTTTCTACGTTAGTCATGTTGGCTGAAGTAGATAGACTAGAGGAAAGTTATAAACGACTTAATCAAGATGCAACATTAATCTACATTTTTATGATCTCAACATAGGACCACTCGTCAATCCAAAAGTTATATTATTCCTTTGGTTTACGAGTTGATCACAGATTGCTATCAGTTAGAAAAGCATTGAAAACCAGGGAGTACTGGACAGCTGTTTCATCCTAGTTTGTGAATCATCGGCAGTACGCACCCACTGGGGTTCGAACCCAGGACCTTCCGGTTATAAGGCAAGCTCGTATATTCCTTTGTGTTCTGAGTGGAATATAGGGCTACAGGCTTGAGCTCTGAAGTTCCAGTAGCAGTGGTGGTTGTTTACGGGGAAGGCTGATAGCCTCACACTCAACCTTCCCTTTTTATCAGACTTACTACCTCCTAAGGGACGTCTAAGATTGCGTCGCCGGGGGATCGGACTCCTTACCATGTGCCTGGTTGAAATCATTCTATGCCTTATTGTCCACAACTTTGTTTTACCATTCATAGAATTTTAAACATGATTTTAAGTAAATTAAACTGTCTTGTTTAAGACTTGGTTTAGAAGACAAAATGATTATTGTCTTTCATGTTACTAAAGTAAGGTTGACATTTTACTACATACAAATCAACATCACAATGAGTGTAATTTTTAAACAAAACCTGGTACTTAAATTGTTGCACGATTTAAAATCTCTGGAAATTTATAATAATAATACACAAACATAAAAATTGTAGATCGTGCTGGATAGGTAGTAACATTCGTCTAACTGAGAGGAGGCAAGGACAAGTGAATGTGGATTCTTTTTAACGCCTTGTTCAACATGTAAGCTTGAAGAAGGCAGTTGAAACATCATTGGTAGGATAAATTGTAGCTTGACTTTTACTACCGTGGATGAGTCACTACTCCGAATCTCAGTGTACCAGGTATTATTATTAATATTATGTTGTTTTTAATTCCTTGAGTTTCGAGTGGGACTCGGGGACTCAACGG